AACATGAAGAAAAGAACAATGCTCGAGTACTTACAGAATGAATTGAATGCATTAGGTACTTGGATCAGCTCGGGATGGCTTCAATGTACAATACGAAAGTATATTGTAGGCAGACTTTGATCGGTGGATTCTATGGTGTTATCAAATCCTCAACTTTACTTCCCACGCCAGACTACTATGGGTAACCCTTTCTAATTTATAAAAATTATACCACTTCTTCTCCGGTCTTCAAATCATCTATCTTTAAACAAATTCTTACTTGGTTCGATATTTTCTTTTTTTGATTAGTGCACTTCTCTTCCATCGACTCATGGGACCCCGTGTTCTCAAAATTGACAATAATGTCTCTTCTGACCTTCGTAGCTATGCCCATTACTCGAGAGGAAGAGTAAGAAGTCCTTTTTAGATTTAAATAAATTAAAATTTTATTTGGTGCCATTTATTGATCCTAATTTATCATTTTATGTAGTCGGGTGTAACCTTGCTTTTCATCAATTTGAGCAATGCAACCAACTTTATAATTGACGTTGAAAACAGCATCAACCTGAGTTTGCGGAAGGGAAAAGTTTCAAAAGGGCAAAGAATGAAAATAGATTCACCGAGAGAGGAATATCATTTGACTCCAAAAGATGGTCTAGTTAGAAGTTCCACCGTACTTTTAAATAGAAATCCATTGGAGACTACAAAAGAGGGAGACATACGAAATCTTATACCGGTCTATCGTCCGAGTAACTCTTCTATACATATTGCCGGTTGGTCCATTGCTTTCATTGTTGTCCCTCACTTTGTAGCTCCAGCAAGCAACTGATTTTGTTGCCGCTAATATCTTTTAAGCCCAACCTGTTGTGCTTTCATGTCCCGGAAGCAACTAATAATATTTTAGATGGAGTTGTTTAGTGTCAAAAATAATTTTTAAAAATAAATAGCATAGTGTTGAATGCATCTTGATGTGCGCAATATATATTTTGATGAATGTCGTACTTAATATGTTTTATGCACTTTGTGGCAATATGATGAGTATGATGATTGTGTGACGCGAGTGTCATATTGCATCATGTCGATCGACATAGGACATAACCCTAAGAGCGTGAAAATGATATTAATATAAATATAGACGAGTATGTGTTACCTAGAATAACAAAGAGATAGACTAGAGCGTTGTGTTAGAAGAGACATTATGATGGATTTATGTTCATAAAAAAAAGTGTAGAGGGACCTCATGCATATTCTATGTTCATAACAAGAAGTGTCCGATCTCACTCCCATCCCGTGGATATCTCTATTCTTTTACCACCATCTGTTTCTGTTTCTTGAATGTCCCTATCTCTATTCTTTACCACCATCTGTTTCTGTTTCTTGAATGTCTCTATCTCTATTCTTTACCACCATCTGTCTCCGATAAAAAAATCTCTTTAAATAAAAATTATTTTAGTAAGAATTAAAATAAATATTTTCTACTTCATAATTCTAAAATAATTCTCCCGAAGTATAACACCATCTTTCAAATAATTCAAAATCTTTTTCAATTCAAATAATTCAAAATCTTTCAAATAATTGAAATACGAATTAACAATTTAAATAATCGTTCCTATCCTCAAAAGGTTTCAAAGAACTCTATCTCCATTATCATCTTCGCCATCTCTTCCCAATAGAGCATCCCCGACTCCGCCCCCGACCTAAACAAAGAAGCTTTTGCGACGGAGATCGTTTCTTTTCGAGGGATTAGACACCAAAATTCCGATAAAAATGGAGGACAACACTTAACAATGAATAAATAAGAGCCTCCATCCATCTAATTTGACACCAACCTGCTTATATCTTTCATTCATAAATTTCAGTGGCAAAGTCAAAAACATCAGAAGACTTCCTTTCTTTTTTTCTTTTTTTTTCCTTTTTTGGTTTAAACTACTACACAGCCCAAATAACTGGAAGAAACGAAGAAATACAACACGAAGCTATGCCCAACATACCACACCAGAACCATCCATCATCAACGGTACGCTACAAAAACGTCTCAACCCATCGCGTACTTCTGAGTCCAGCTCCTTGCACTCGCTTCGTACTTGGCTCGGTCAGTCTTATACATGTGTGCAATCTCCGGTACGAGAGGGTCGTCTGGGTTTGGATCGGTCAGCAATGAGCATATGGAGAGTAGGACCTGTTTCATGAAAACGCCATTAAGTTTTAGAATTTGCTCGATCAAATCTTTTTAGTTTCTCTCTCTCAGGGAGCATTGTGGTTATGGGTCCCTGGCCTTAACTTCAAAGTTGACGAGAATGCAAGTTCCCGGGTAATGGGGTTTTTTACGACGATCGAAAGGTCGAGTGAAGATATCAAGCTAAGCTACTTAACTTGTTCGTTATTAGCAGTGTAGGTAAATGACCTAAGAGCCTCAACCCGACTCGTTTCGATAGAAAATAACTAACACTAATATTAGTTTGTGTTGTATACAGTGATGGAAAGTAATAATGATCGAATATTTAAAACACTCGAACAACAAATTAATGGTGGTTCTCAACTGCCACATAGCTACCCTTGGGATGGCAAGTCATCCCAAGATTAGTAGGGTACGGGCCATGAGTATAACGCAGGAGTAGGACCCGACGCCCCAATTATCAACATACAAAAAAGGACCGTTCAACTGCATAGAGAAATCATAGCTCAAAGAGTATCCAGATTGTTTACAGATACATCCGAGTTAGTGAATTTGTCGGTATAACGTTCCATCGAATAGGGAATTTCAAAAGAGTAGAGGCATCCATGCTACACATAACTTTACTATGGTAAAAGCACATAGATCTCAGACATCACAAGTTATGCAAACACCACAATGACAAGCCATAATTAGGAACCAAATGATAAACTATAAGTGAATCCAAAAAGAAACGGCCAAACAAACCTTAGAAATCGTAAGCGCAGGGCTCCACTGTTCTTTAAGGATGTCGAGACAAATGCTTCCATTGCTATTGATATTTGGATGAAACACTTTGGTCCTAAACGCAACCTGAACAACAATACACCACAATCATTATGGTCGGTGGTTGTAACAGCCCAAGCCCACTGCTAACAGATATTGTCCGCTTTAACCCGTTACATATCGACGTCGCCTCAAGGCTTTAAAACACGTATTGTAGGGAAAGGTTTCCACACCCTTATAAGAAATGTTTCGTTCCCCTCTCCAACCGAGGTGGCATCTCACGATCCACCCCCTTGGGCGTCCAGCGTTCTTGCTAGCACACCACTTGGTGTCCACCCCCCCTTCGAGGTTCAGCCTTCTCTCTGGCACACCGCCCGGTGTCTGGCTTTGATACCATTTGTTACAGTCCAAACCCGCCGCTAGCAGATATTGTCCGCTTTGGCCCGTTATGTATTGACATCAGCCTCACGGTTTTAAAACGTGTTTGGTAGGGAGAGGTTTCCACACCCTAATAAGAAATGTTTTGTTCCCCTCTCCAACCGATGTGGGATCTCACAATCCACCTCCTCGGGGGCTAGCATCCTCGCTAGCACACCGCCACCCAGGCCCACCACTAGCAAATATTGTCCGCTTTGACCCATTACATATCATCATCAGCCTCACGATCTTAAAACGCGTCTAGTAGGGAGAGGTTTCCACACCCTTATAAGGAATGTTTCGTTCCCCTCTCCAACCGACATGGAATCTCACAATGATCCTATTCTATTAGAAACGAAAACAATAAACATAGAATCATCTTGCACAAATCAGCATCAAACAGAAGACAAACATCATTCACCTTGGGGGGCTTGAAAGGATAATCTGGCGGAAAATGAATATTGACAAGAAAAACACCTCCTGAATAAGGACTATCAGATGGTCCCATAATGGTCGCTTGCCAATGGAACATGTCTTCAGCTACAGGACCTATCCTCAAAATTCAAACAAACATTCCAATCTCACAACTCCAAACAATATAAACATACATACAGACAGATCAAAATGTCGACGATCCGCTCACGAAAAACGCATCATAGCTCAACTGATCAACACATATATCTCCTAATATAAATATATATAGACAGATCAAAAGGTCAACAGCAATCAAAATCATATGATCTGCTCCGAAGAACACATCATAGCTCAACTGATTTAACGCATATATCTCGTACTCAAGTGTTCTAATCCTCGAAACACATCTCAAAAACAACCAATTCATTCAATAAAATTCGAACAAAATGATCAAATTAGGTAATCAAATAGGAAGATCGAGGCTCATAGAACATACCAGCGCTGCAAGACGTGGGCGGATCCTTCTGTAAATCCTTGAGTTCCTTCAAGATACGCTTCGAAGCCATGATCTACACACATAAACGATCAAAAACGAGAAGATTCAGAAAACCGATCAACGAAGAACAGAACAAACAAAGGGACATGCGATTAACAAAGAGAATCAACACAAAACGCAGAAAAAAAAGAGGGAAATCGAAGGGAAATGAGAGAAATACCTTGAGAAAACAAAAGGGTTTGCGATCGACAAGGGGATAAAGATCAGAGAAATAGGGTTCGAAATCAGATCGACGGCGGAACCCAGAAATCGCTGCTCGTTCGTCGGTCTCCTTACCCTTGAATTTTTTTGTGGAATTTGAGAATGTTAGAGACCGAAGAACTTCGCCAATCGCCAATCGCCAATCAAATGATTGAGGAATTTCAATATTTAAAGCGATCCCAAATCCACCATTTTATTTTACCGCAATCCAATCTTATCCATTCTTTTTTTACATATTTATCAAGTTTTTGTTTGTTTTTCTTATAAAAGTAAGAATCTTTTAGTCCTTATTTTGATTTTGCATCCAATTCAACTAGTTTTGATAAATACAAACAAAATTCGAATCACAGTTTATCGTGATTATCGTCCTTAAATCTAAATCTCAAAAACTTCTAATTTGTTGTAATAATAATAATTTCAAAACTTCGATCCTAGTTTAGGATGAACACGCGCAAATTGGATGAAAAGTAATGTTTCCAGTGGCGGACAAGTGAGTAACACGATAGCAGCATGGTTTGATTACCTTACACAATGGATACAACTTTGATTCATATGATTAGAATGAATGAGATAAGAGCAATTACAAGGTCGGAGTATTCGAGTCATTGTCCCTGTCTCCGTTCCCGTCTCCGGTTTTGTTATCTTCTAATGATGGTCGAGTTCCCGAGCTAGATGGTCGAATATCCTCGATCATCCTTACGACTTCCTCCATCGTTGGTCTCATATCAGACACTCGAGACACACATGCCATTGCTATTTGAAGCATTTGAACCAACTCTTCTTCAATGTTCTCATACTTCATTAGCTCTACATCAAACACCTCTGATGTCCATTCCTCTCTAACCACAGATTGCACCCATCTAGGAAGGTCCATGACCTCGTCACGCCCTGGCGATTGGGCTGGAGCTTTCCTAGTCAACATCTCAAGCAAAACAACTCCAAAGCTATAAACATCAGACTTTTGAGTCAACTTTCGAGTCTCGATCACCTCGGGAGCTCGATACCCTATGCTTCTAGACGGAACGGCAGCGGAGTTCATCAAATGAGTCAGCCCAAAATCGGATATACAACCATTAAGGTCTTGTGTGAGAAGGATGTTAGAGGACTTTATGTTTCCATGGATGAACTTTGAATGAATATGTGCAAGGCCTTTGGCACTCCCTAATGAAACCTTCAGTCTCGTTTCCCAATCCGGTGGCACCCGACCGCCTTCTCGGGTTCCTGCAGAATGTAACGAGCACGAAATAATTTTTCTAGCATTCATCTAAATGATCCATAAAAGTTAGAATAGAGCATACCATGGAGTAATGTCGAAAAGCTTCCAACGATGGCATAATCGTAAACTAAAAGCTTCTCGTCTTTCGAATAGTAATAGGCACGGAGCGGTACGACGTTTCGATGCTGGCCTATCCTCCCAACAATCTCCATTTGTTGATCAAATTCCTTTTTCCCAGCTACCATTTCTTTCAACCTCTTTACTACAACTGTTGTTCCTTCCTCCAAGATTGCCTTGTAAGTAGTCCCATAACTACCTTTTCCGAGCACCTCGGCCGAGGCTCTTAACAAGTCGTCGAGATCAAAATTATACGAACATCCTTCAAAGAAAACCAGCCTATTCTTCTCGGCCTCTTGTATCCCGCTTCCGAAATCCTCCTTCGGTTGCTTGGTTCTTTTACGAGCTCCTTTCATTGCATCAGTACTACCTTCACCATCTTTTTTCTTCATACAACAGACAATAATCATCAACACAAGGAGGAACAGCACTGCAGAACCACCTAATCCAATGGCAACGATCGCTCCGATATTTATGCTCCTTTCCCTCTCGGGAGGAGACGACGACGGTACGGGGGCGATATTAACCGAGCAAGTTTTCAGAGGAGAGCCACATAGCTTTAAGTTCCCTTCAAAGGATGAAGCAGGAAATGATTGCAAAGAACCAGGAATAGGACCACTAAGATGGTTGTAGCTCAAGTTCAATAGCTTAAGCTTTAGCTGACCAATATCAGGAATGGATCCAGTTAGGGAGTTGTTTTGAAGGTTGAGGCTAATGAAGTGCGTTAAGGTTCGTATCGACGTCGGGATGTCCCCAGAGAGATCGTTGAAAGACAGGTCCAGGAAGGTAAGGCTAGGAGACAGGGAAGAAGGAATTTTACCTGAAAAGTTATTGTGTTGAAGATACATAAACTTTAAGGAGGGGAGGGCTAGAACATCTGATGGAACGTTTCCGAAAAGATTGTTAGATCGAAGACTCAGAGTTCCAAGAGCGTGTAACTTTCCGAGTGTATTGGCGGGGATCGGACCGTATAGACCAACGGCAGGCAGCCTAAGAGCGAGCACGTTTGAACGGTCTGAGGTGCAAGTGATGCCAATCCATGTAGTGCAGACTGAGGTAGAAGAATCCCAGTTGAGTTTTCGACCGTGCCGAACGGTCGAAATGAAGTCGAGAAGAGCTTGCTTGTCTGAGTTCAGATCAGCAGCAATAGAGTGGAAGTATATGAGTATGAGTAAAGATGATGCTAGAGAAAGGGATTGTTGCCTCATGGAGGAGTTCACAGAGGAAGGCTACTGCTGCTGTCTAAAGGAAATAAAAAAGGATCCAAAATCAGCTAACCATATAGAAATTGTCTCAATGCAAAGAAAAAGAAGCAACCTTCTATCATGTTATCATATGCATGGTTATATTGGAGTGGAATATAAGAAAAACTATGCAGCAGGAAGTGAGATCCCACGTCGGTTGGAGAGGGGGATGAACATTTCTTATAAACGTGTGGAAACCTCTTCCTAGTAGATGCGTTTTGAAACCGTGAGGATAATGGGTTTGGGTTGTGACAAATGGTATCAGAGCTAGAAACCGGACGATGTGCTAGCGAGAAGACTGAGCTCTAAAGGGGGTGGACACTAAGCGGTGTGTCAGTGAGAACGTTGGGTTTCCAAGGGGGGTGGATTGTGAGATCCCACATCGGTTGGAGAGAGGAACGAAACAATCCTTATAAGGATGTGGAAACCTCTCCCTAGTATACACATTTTAAAACTGTGAGGCGGATGATGATACGTAACGGGACAAATTTGGTACGGTGGGTCTGGGGTGTGAGAAATAGTATTAGAGATAGACACTATGCGATGTGCCAGTAAGAAGGTTGAGCCCTTAAGGGGGTGGACACTAACCGGTGTGTTGCTAGGACGATGGGGCCCAAGGGGGGTGAATTGTGAGATCCCGCATCGGTTGGACAGGGGAACGTAACACTCCTTGTAAGAGTATGGAAAGCAAAAAGTGAGATAATATGAGAACGGAAAAGAAAGAATGAAATGAAAAGAGAAAAGAATAAGAGTTTTGTGGAAAAGAAAAAGGCATTAAAGTGAGTAGCAAAAGAAATGCTCGTAGAATCCCTTTTTCAGCTTTCATTTATGAACTTCCTTTTGCATTGCCCAACTTATTCAATGAAGTTAAAATTGAGATCATGGAAGGAAAGAAAAAGGCAGAATTCTACCCTTTTTCTTTTTTGTCTAAGCTTTAACTTTATCGGCTAAGTGCAAAGAAGAAACACAAGATAATGGAGGCATCTATCATAGCTAAAGGAAGAACCAAAAACTACGAACATATGAGAGAGAACGAAGCATTCTTTATAAAGGTGTGAGAATCTCTCCTTAATAGACGAGTTTTAAAATCTTGAGGGAAAGTTCGAAAGGGAAAGCCCAAAGAGGACAATATGGACTTGCGGTGGACTTGAGCCGTTACAAATGATATAAGAACTAGACACCGGGTAATGTGCCAACGAGGAGGCTGAGTCCTGAAGGGGGTGGACACGAGGCGGTGTATCAACAAGGATGCTGAGCCTCGAAAGGGGTGGATTAGGAGGTGCCACATTGATTAGAGAAGGGAACGAGTGTCAGCCAAGCCTACCGCCAGTAGATATTGTCCTCTTTAGACATTTTCTTTCGGGCTTCCCATCAAGTTTTTCAAAACACGTCTGCTAAGGAAAAGTTTCCACACCTTTATAAAATGCTTCGTTCTTCCCAGCTTTCTCATTGGCACTCGTTTCCTTCTCCAATGGATGTGGGACCCTTCAATCCATCTCCTTTGGGCGTAGCATCCTTGATGACACACCGCCTCATATCCACTCCCTTCAAGGCTCAGCCTTCTTGCTAGAACATCGCCCGGCATCTGGGTTTGATACAATTTGTAACAGCAACTTCATTGCAAGCAGATGTTGTCATCTTCTTTGAGCTTTCCCTTTCGGGCATCCCCTCAAAGTTTTTAAAACGCTAGGAAGAGGTTTCCACGCCCTTATAAAGAATGTTTCAATTCTCCACCCCAACCGACCCGAGAACTTTTCCCGATTGAGACTCTCGGAAACGAAACACACTTTCAAATCAGAGTGACCACAGAACCCATCAACTCAAATACTCCAAAACCCATTTCATATATCCAAAAACCCAATTAGAAAACGTACATAACACAAAACCCAACAACAAGAAAAGGGTAATTTGAGGTGAAATAAGAGAGAAAACGAACCTAAAAAGCCATGAGCAGCATTGAGCAATAGCTTTGTGTAGCAGCCGAGTAGAGATGAGATAAGAGAGAAAAAGAAGAAGCAAGCAAGCAAGCAATCAAAATCTTTAATTTGGTAGGTGAAGGCCATTTTCAAAATCTTTAATTTTTTATGATTTTTGTTTCATTTTATTTCATTCAAAATGGATATAACAAAAATCTAGTCGCAAGTTGAGTCTTCGTAGAATCCAGCTCACACAATATTTGTGGAACCGACGTGACTAAATCATTTAAAAATTTGATCTAAACTCCGTTAAATATCTTTAGGTATCAGAGCCAAATACCGAACGATGTGTCAGCGAGGAGGCTATTCTCCGAAGAGAGTAGACATGAGGCGGTGTGCCAATAAGAATGCTCGACCCTGAAACGGAGGGGAGGAAAAGAAATTTGATGTTTAAATTAATTAAAAAAATTCTGTTCAATCCTTATGAAAATCTTTAATATTATTGGAGATTTTTTTTAATATTATTTATTAACAGTTTTTCTTACAGGTTAGAATCCTATTTAAAATTAAGAAAGTAAAATAAATTAATATTGAAATAGTTTTTTTTTTTAATACAATAATTTAAAATACATTATATTTTAGTAATAAATCTAATAAATTTTAGGGACTATATTTTACTTTAAAATGAGATCTCACCAACCAAATGCTAATTCATGAATGAAAATATAAAATAATATATATATATATATATATATATATATATATATATATATATATATTTGGTTAAAAATGTCTAGGGCCAAAATGGTCATATGCTAATAACAAAATATATTTTTATTTGTTGTCGTTTTAGGAGGTGGAAGTAGTTGACCTACCATATTATTTTATTAGACTTTTAATTTTAATTTTAATTAAATGAAACTTCATTTATACTATATCTAATTTTTACCTTAAATTACACCTAATTTATTAGTCAACAATAATAAAAATTTAGACCAAAAAAATAATTTATACCTTAAACTTTCAATTTTATCAATTTTTACTAAATTCACCTTAAATCAGAGTTTAATTTTAATTTAAAAAAATATTTAAAACTAGCATAAAGTCTATACATTAATATACAAAATCAACTTTTTAGAAAATCTACCAAAATTTATAAATTTCAATTTTTTTTTTTTAGATTTCTCTTAATAATAATACTAATTCTAATTCAAATGCGGAGTTCGTTGGGACATTTCTTACCTCCAACCTGATTTAACTCAACCATTATTTTTTTAGGCTAGGTTGGGTTGTTACCTCAATAAAGTATTCATATATTTGAATCCAACCCAAACAAATTCATAACCTGAACAATAATAAGTTGAATTGATCGGATTTTTGAGTATGCGAATACGAAATGAAAATATAATTATTTTAATTTTTTCTCTTGCATAGGTTAAAAGACAAAATGAGAGGGCAATTTATCCAAAAACAAATTCTTTGGGATACACAAAATGGCTTCAAAATGCACATAAGAGAGAATATTCACCCTACTATTACGAGGAAACTAACGTACTAATTTTTCTTCACAAATTTCTCCATATTTCTATCTTCTCTTCTCCCTCTTGAGGTTTCACTGCAATTGAGCAGATTCCATCATTTTCTAAACCAAAATGATCCCAAAATATAATATGATAATGACAATGATAATTCAAGAAAATACAATACAAACCCCATCATCGTCATCTTAGATGCTACAAGAGGCCGAAAGGTTCAGGCAGAGCTTCAAATCCATAATCCAAAATGGAACCCAAATCCGTTTTATCATCTGCGCTGTGCAGCCAGTTCGTGTTCTTCAAGTCCTCTTTCAGCAATATCGATTCGTAATGGGAGCTTTCGTACATGTCCAAATGATTCAAGCTTCCACAAAATCTTCCATTCTCTCCTCCATCAGGATGAAAATGGTTCCCTCTCTCCATGTTGTTGTTACTGCTCTTTTGGAAGTCAGTATCGATGGCATTGGAGTTGCTTGAAGTAACGGACGGAGTTTTGGAAGTCGCCGATCGGATGCTGTGGGGAAATAGAGTATTGGCTGAACCTGAGCGCATGATCCCAGGGCCATTTCTTATATCCTGCATCACACAAGCAGAAGCAGATTGGATTGTTTAAATTTGGTACAAAACGATGTGTCCTGAACGCGAAAAGAATTCGCGTTCGTGTTCTTAACAGCACTTGGATTAAGTTAAATCGTCGAGAAAGTTGATGAGGCATACCATATGTCTGGTGGCCACATCAAGTGATTTCTTTGAAATAGACCTTCCATATCCGTTGCTTTCTGCTGTAGAGGTAGAAGAAGTCCTCACAGGTCTCCGTCCGCCCAAATCAGAAGAACTTGAAAGTGTCCTACTTTCAGGATTGCCACTGAGGTGTCCATTGGTATTCACTCGACCCCTTCCAGGAGTGTCTGTTAGCCTTCCCCTTGAGACGTTAGGCGATGCTGCTCTTCTAGGCATGTTGACGGTTGATGTAGGCTCGGAACTCCCTCTAACTGATGCAGCAGGAGTTGGACGGGATCTACCAGCCGAAATTGGCCTATCTGGCAATGTTATTCTGAGGTTTGGAGGGGTATCAAGGGAAAAATCAGGGGGGACGATTGGCTGAGGTGCAGCCCGAACTCGAGGACTAGGGGAACTTTGTCGAGATGATGAAGTTGAACTGCGTCCATTAGTTGATAGGATACGCCCTGTAGAAGGAGTGCCAACTACAGAAGAGAGTGAAGGAGCAGAATTTCGTCGAGTGGGTGTAGATGGGCGGGAATTCGACCGGGGTGCAGGAGTACTCAGATTTGCAGGAATTTGAGGCCTAGAACTAGGAGTGGACGGCCTTGAACTTTGTGTTTTCCTTGGTTTTTCAATGGAGGAGCTGGTGAGGGATGGACGGGCCCTTGAAGGAGTCGAGGACCTTGATGGTGTCAAGCATGAGGATGGAGTAGAAGTTCTTGCAATAGATGAATTGCGTGTGCTTGGGGAGGAAGGCCTTACGTAAGAGGAAACTGAACCCGAGCTTGTATTAAGAATCGATGAAGACCTGTTGGAATAACTACTATTCTGTGGGGCGGAGACAGAGGACCGAGACACGGAACTGCTCCTAGATGGCCTAGAAGGATTGCTACTCTCTGATTGTGAAACTGAAAGCTGAAATGGATATGGGAAGCAATTAAAAACACCCTAGATCATACAACTAAAGAGCAATCTTCAACATCCCCACTTAAACGCGTTTGTATCATATCATATATAATGCAATTCAGGAAGATCATTGGTAGTAAAGAAGGCAGAACCATACCCTCAAAGCTTTTGTTGTTGAAGACGATCCGACTAACATACTGCTTCTCGGTGCCGCTACAGTAGATTGAACTTCATTTCTAGAGGATGAAGGGAGAAGAGGAGTCCCAGGAGGTGCGAGAAGCCTGTAGCCCAAAGGTTAGCCAGAAAAGAAACATGTTTCAGAACACATATCCATTTTTTTTTAGATCAGAATTGTTGATATCTACTTCATATAACCCCTCATCAAGCAGCAGTATTCAATTTTTTGACAAATTATTGACATGTTCTTACAACTTTCTAATTATAATATATGTTCTTTTTGTACCAGTATCATTCTTAAAGAGATAATTTAAAGAATGCACAAGGGCCCCGCTCATGATTACGAAAGTAAATCAAGTAAATATATACAGTCTCAGAACATCAATTAATTGGTCCATGTCGGGTAGAATTCAGAAATGCTG